AGACCCCAGTCAGATAATCACTTTAACGTTAACAACTGGTAACTTCTAATACAGAAACTCAAAAATTGTGAAATTATGTATTCATTCGACAAAATCAAAAATCCTAAACAAAAGTATCGATTCATAAAGACATCAGTCCATCTATAGGTGCGATTTTCAAATTTTTTATTTTATGACCATGATTGAGTTGAATTAGTACCTTAAGTATAATATGTCACCCCTAATACATATTTTGTAAAAGTAATAACTTGTCTATATCAATTTGTAGTCCATACATTACTAAAGCTCTGAAATAAAAATACAAACAAAAATGTAATATTTGTACCCCTCGCATGTGGAGAGGATTTTTAATAAATTGTTTGCAAATATGAAGAAAATGTATGTGCTAATGCATAGTTTGAAATTTATCAATATACTAGCTTTACCCAGTGTGCTTTGCTTCCCTAAAAGCAGTATAAATAAAAAACCCACTTAACGATTTTGAAGATTCTAACCGCAATAGTTCTCCAGATTTACAATATGTTACATATTAGAGATGCCAAGCAAATTACTGAAAGTTCGCCAATTTCTATTTATCTATGAAAAATTTGAATAATATAATAGTTTCCAAGATATACGAAATTTTGTATTTAATTCATTTATGTAGTGCCAAGCACCCAATTGAAAGGTCGCCCGTTATTCTCTAAATGTTCACATGAATGTCAGAGTTTTTTATGTAAAATTTTAAGATTCCAAAATATTCAAATGATTATTGAAGTAATTTCTGCAAAATTTGAAGAATCTAGTTCTATTAGTTTCCCAGATAAACGAAATTTTATATTTAAGTCATATGGGAGTTATCAAGTCCCCCATTGAAAGTCCGTCCGTTATACTCTAATTGTTCAGATGAATGTCAAAGCTCTTTAAGTAAAATTTGAAGATTCTAGCTCTAATAGTTTCTCAGATATTCGAATTTTTCTATTTAATTCATATGGGGGCTCCAAGCCCCGCCAGATGGAAGTCCGATCTTTTTCATCCAAAATGTTCAGACAAATATTTAAGTTCTTAGTGCAAAAGTTGAAGAATTTTGTTCTATTAGTTTCCCATGTAAACGAATTTTTGCATTTAATTAATATGGGAGGTGCCGCTGCCCTCATGGGTAGTCCGCCAATTTATTTCCCAAAATGTTAACATGGATGTTAAAGTTATTTGTGCAAAATTTTAAGATTCTAACTTTAATTGTTTCTAAGATAAACTAATTTTTGTTTTTAATTTATATGGGAGGTGCTACGCCCCCTAATGCTAGTCCGCCTACTTTTTGTCCTAAATAATCATATTGACACTAAAGTGGCTCCGACAAAGATATATAGATACAATATCTACCCAGCAAAAAATTACTTACCGGGTAAGCAGGCAGGTAATGTAGAATGATAATGACCACTCATTACCAAGTTATGTATGAAATAACTACTGGTCATTATAAAACATTTGAGACTTTTTGCTGGGATTTTAAGGTTTTTTTTTAGACAATTGAAAAAATAACGTATAAGGATTTCTCATCTGAAATTGCTAAATAGGATGTATTCTAGTAAATCTTTATAGATATAGAGTAATTGCATATCTTATTAATTATTTACCAGTAACTTATCTGTTCAAAAGACACATTTATAGAGAGAAATATTTTTAATATAATAAAATATATTTTTTTTTTTTTTGATAAATTACATTTAAATAAAAAATCCCACCTAAGTAGTATTTACTCCTAATATTCATAAAATAAACACACCCGCTCACTCAAAAAGTAAACAATTTAAATCCCCATCAAAAATTTCTCTACATTGATTGATGTCGGTTTTATTTTAATGGTTTAGTCAATTAGATAAATTCCAAGTTACCCAAAAATATAAAATAATCAAAATTAATGTTCAAACACATTGACACACTCTCGTACAAAATC